CCTGGCATATAGTAGTGGGTGTTTAAACGTTTTTAGTTCTAACAAATTTTTCCTACCCACCCACCTGCAAACCTCATTATCAACACAGTTCTGTTGGGAAGCAGTTAAGGAAAAAAAGTATTATTATTATTATTCTTATGTGACACAGCTTACAGGAAGGAAAATTGAGGTGCAGAGGTGAATGGACTAAGAACACAGTCGTGAGTCAGAGGTACCAGTGCTTGAACAGGACTCCCCAGGCCAACTCGGAGCATTAATCATAAGACGCAGGACTCTCTGGTAATCAATTAACAGTTTCAAAGTGGAACGAGCACGAACTTTGGAGTCAAAAAAAATCTGGGTTTAGATTTTTCTGCCACTTACTATCAGACGTTGAACAAATCACTTGACTTCTCTAAGCCTCAGTTTTCCCATGTGTAAGAGGGGCCCAATATACCTAAAAGATTAAGTGAGATAGTGTATGTGTAAAAGGAGTTTAAAATGAGATTCTTGTTTCATTTGAGCCCAAGCTCCAAAAATCACAGTTAGCCTTGGTGTGGTTGCTTTCAAACCAAAACAAAGCAGTAGATGCTAAGCTCTTCCCACGTTACAAAGCTTGCCCACTTTTTCAGGGATTGACAAAGGAGACAACCAAAAGCTGGCTTTGTGGCTCTCGGCACGTCACCCATATCAGGAATTGAGGCTGAAAATAAGGAGGGAAGAGGATTTCTCGATAAAGAGTCATTGGAATGCTGTGCTACTCCTCTTTGTCAATGGGAAAGCGGGACTTGCCCTGCATCTCAAGCCAATTGAATGAGCTTCAATAGGACCTTAAGTGGAAGATCACTCAGAGTCACACGTGTCCTCTGGAGTTTGGCATATGTAAGGAAGGTGAAGAGTGGCTGTGGATAGATGTGTCTGGGGCCACACAGCAGAGAAAGAATGAGGACTGACCATCTACAGATGGTAGGACAGGAATGCACAAGTGTTTCCCAAGACCATACATAGACTTTCCAAGTTGGAGTTGACCAGGAGCGTGTTTGAAAGCTCATTGTAGAGTGATAACCATAACCAACTCTGGGAAGCTCAGTCCCAGAAGTTGAAGTGAAAACCAGCCAGTCACATAAGAAGCACCACCTACCTCACAGGAATTACAGTTAAAAGTTCCCAGCAGAGGAATCTTTGAAGAACCTAAAACACCCCATGGGAAAACTAGCCAGCAATTGTACATCTGTTCCATGCCCGGTCGCAGAGGCACATAAAGTGCACTGAAGCCTCTATTCCACCTCCTTTCCTCTATTCCACCTCCTTTCCTCTATTCCATGGCTTCCGTGGTCACCCCTGGCTCCAATTTCCTGATTGTGTTCAATTAGTTCAGATTACAGGTCATTTGGCCCTGTGTGTGTTTCCTTATTTTCTTACCACCTTAAATCTAGGCAAGGCCCAGTTTCCTTGCCATAATTTTCACCTAAACAGCCCCATTTACACAAGGCTGCTGCATGGATAGAACATTCTGGTTACACTGAATGTTTCTGAAAGAGGCATTGGTTTACACTGAAGCAGCACAAGGTGGCAACTATTATTTTGTCTTCCCATCAAGAATTTCCACCTCTTTTCTCATAAAAGACCCTTACCTCCAGGTAAAACAGAGGCACATGACCTGTGTGGGATAATCATGGTGTCCTATCCCCCTGGCATTGACAAGGGATGGACATGTCATCCAAGCAGGGACATTTATAACACATCCTTGAAATTGCGATATGGATATTAGAGAAAAAAGCTCTCTGTGGTTGCTGATCTGAGTCTAGCTGCAACCATGTCTCCTGCCACGTGGCACGGTCCTTTCTGTCATAGGAAAACGTGAGGTCAACATAGAGAGACAGAGTCAAGCAGAGATGAGAAAGATAGGAAAAGCAAGGAGGGAGGGAGGAAGGGAAAGAAAGAGCGATTTGGCAGCGTTAATTCAAGTTTCTGTACAGTTTCTGCAGCTCTAGTTTCTCTAATTCTTCCTTGGATGCAGCAGACGATCCTGGAATCTTTCCAAACGCTGTGAGCCACTAAGACCCCTTTTTTGTATAAGCTTCTTGGAACTGGGTTTGTGTTACTTTCAAACACCAGAAATGTCAATAATACAGCAGAAAGTTTCCAATTAAATGTTGGGTGTCTCTAACCTTTAAAAGCCCCTTTTCCACCAGGTGCAGTGGCTCACGCCTATAATCCCAGCACTTTGGGAGGCCGAGGCAGGTGGATCGCCTGAGGTTGGGAGTTCAAAACCAGCCTGGCATAGTGAAACTCCATCTCTACTAAAAAAAAATTACAAAAATTAGCCAGGTGTGGTGGCAGGCACCTGTAATCCCAGCTACTCAGGAAGCTGAGGCAGGAGAATCACTTGAACCCGGGAAGCGGAGGTTGCAGTGAGCTGAGATGGTGCGATTGCACTCCAGCCTGGGCAATAGAGCAAGACTTGGTCTAAAAAAAAAAAAAAAAACCCTTTTCCATTCTATTCCCAGCGATTTTCACTCCATATAGCTCTCTAGTTGTATACCCTCTTAAGGCTTTGCTCCTTGACCTTTCTCTTCCCCTTCCTTCTTCCCTTTCCTGTTCCCTTCTAGGATCAAAACCAAATTCCTTCCTTCCTTTGCTTATGCAGAATAATTCAGCCACATTTTAAAAGCTCTGTTGGTTCCTGAAATCCATGGCCACATTTTGCCATGAGTGGTTTTTCAGGGTATTTTCCCAAAGACTGTTCAATACAAGAAAAAGCTTGGAGCATTTTGTTGGTTATTAGAGAAAAAATCCAGTCCATACAGTCTTTTTCTAACAAGTTCTTGGATAGCGGGTCAGGTAAATTACTTAAGTTTTCTCACCTATAAAGTTACATTTTAGAGTTAAAAAGTCTATACAGATGAGTTAACCCAAGCCCTTTAATAAGCTTAGAGAAGTTAAGTAGTTTGTCGTGTATTAAAAAGTTAGTAGTAAAGTCGTGATTAGAATATTGGTCCTGAATTTTGCTCCAGGGTCTCAAGACCCCAGAAAAAAGAACAAGGCTTTATGACTTGATATTGCCATAATTTAGGTTGATTTCAGTTTATAAACTCAGTATTCAAAACAGACCTCCAAGTTTCAGTCCCTCAACTGTAACATGGTAAAAAATAGATTGCCAGTTCTCAAAGACTTTTAGATATGGAAGCTTTTATTTAAGTGAAATCTTATATTGATGGGAAATAAAAATAAAATAATGGTAATAATAAATGTGGTAGCCCAGATCCTCCAGGAAGCAAATGCCAAGGACATATTGGGAGAGATGGCTATGAAGGAAAAAGAAGATGGAGATGCAGAAGGTAGGGAGACTCCTTAGACTGTGATTAGATGTGATCCCTGGGAAAAAGGGAGGAAAGGAAGAAGGATTAAGTAAGAATAGTCTCAGACTTCTGCATGGTTCTAAGATAGTTTCAGGCCAGGCGCAGTGGTGCATGCCTGTAAGTAATCACAGCACTTTGGGAGGCCGAGACAGGAGGATCACTTGAGCTCAGGAGTTCCAGACCAGCCTGGGTTACATAGTGAGACCTCGTTTCTACTAAAATTCAAAAAAATATTAGCAGGGCATGGTGGCACTTGCCTATAGTGCCAGCTATTCAAGGGGTGCCTGGGCAGGGTGAGGGGGGCAGGGGCGGCAGTGCTGAGGTGAGAGGATTGCTTGAGCCTGGAAGGTCAAGGCTGTAGTAAGCCCTGATCGTGCCACTGCACTCTGGCATGGGTGACAGAGACCCTGACTTAAACAAATAAAAGAAAAAGAATACCAGATACAGTGGCTCACGCCTGTAATCCCAATACTTTGGGAGGCCGAGGCGGGGGGATCAAGAGGTCAGGAGCTCGAGATCGGACTGGCCAACTTGGTAAAATCCCATCTCTACTAAAAATACAAAAAGTAGCTGGGCACGGTGGTGCATGCCTGTAATCCCAGCTACTCAGAAGGCTGAGACTGGAGAATTACTTGAACGCATAAGGTGGAGGTTGCAGTGAGCTGATATCATGCCATTGCACTCCATCCTGGGTGACAGAACAAGACGCCATCTCAGGAAAAAAAAAAGAGAAAAGAAAGTGTCAGCCAGGCTGATGGGGAGTCCTCAAGCCAAAGGCACTCATCAAAAGACTCTACATCCTGCAGGAAAAGGCCTGCATTTGCATCTGTACCACATTCAATCATTGGTTAGGAGCAGCCCATTAAAAGTCTGGCTTCAGTGGAAATATACAATGGTAGAGTCAGAGAGCAGCTGCTGGAGCCATCAATCAATCGAGCTTTCTACAACAAAAGTTCTGACATGTACTTTCAAGGCTACTTCCACTTAAAACTTCTTTTAAATTTTTAAGTAGAAGGAGGGGAGGCAAAAAATTGAAATAATAACCAAATATTCCAAATTTGATGAAACTATAAATTCTTATATTCAAGAAGCTCACTAAATCCCAACTATAAGAAATTTAAGAAAAATATGCCAAGATACATCATAATCAAATTTCTTAAAACCAGTAATAAAAACAAAAACTTAAAAGCAGACAGAGAAAAAAGATACAATATGTACATAGGAAGAAAGGTAAAAATGAAAGCAGACTTCTTGGCCGGGCGCAGTGCCTCATACCTGTAATCCCAGCACTTTGGGAGGCTGAAGTGGGTGGATCATCTGAGGTCAGGAGTTTGAGCCCAGTTTGGGCAACATGACAAAACCCCGTCTCTACTAAAAATACAAAAATTAGCCAGTCATGGTGGCAGACACTAGTAATCCCAGCTACTCGGGAGGCCTGCAGGAGAATCATTTGAACCAAAGAGATAGAGGTTGCAGTGAGCCGAGATCATGCCATTGCACTCCAGCCTGGGCAACAAGAGCAAAACTCTGTCTCTTGGGGAAAAAAACAAAAACAAAAACAAAAACAGACTTCTCAATGCAAGTGAGAAAACGCTGGAGCAACATCTTCAAAGCAAGGAAGGAAAACACACACACACACACACACACACACACACACACCTGTCAACATAAAATCTTATGCTCAGTGAAAACAGCCTTAAAAAACAAAGGGAAAATAAAGACTTTTGCAGATATACAGAAAGTGAAAGAATTCACCACAGTATATCAGCACTATAAGAAATGTTAGAGGAAGCCCTTGAGGAAGAATGAAAGTGATCACAAATGATTTTATCAGAGGAGGTGGCACAGCTACCACTGAGCCTTTTCCTTAAGCGTCTCCTTGGGTGCTCCCAATGGGGACTTTGAGATGTCTAAGGATGCCTAAAAACCACCTCAAGTTATCTCTAATGGTCTTTCCAGTTCTTGCCTTTTAAGGTGACTTAATTCTGGATTGTGTATTTTCTCTTGGACATTTTGCCTATAAGCAGAATGCACACCCATCCAATAACTAGCATGAATGAGTTATGGTTTCGTGATGCAGAGTCAGTAATAATAACTTACTGAGATGATAGTTCCGAAATTGTCCTTTTTTCCAGTGCTAGTGATATATATCAAGTATTGTTTTTATCATTGCAATCAGGGATGTGGCAGAGGAATTACAAAGGGGAAGAATTTGTGCCAGAACTCAGAGTCAGGCAAAACTGATAGGACAAATCAGGGCATATAGTTGAAAGCATACTGAAGTTGACCATCAGGACAGTGAGGGCTAGGCCAGCTCTACAACTAGTTGTGCATGTCTGAGACCCTCTCTTTCTCCTGGACCTCAGTTTCTTCCTATCGGGATGTTAGCTAAGTGACTCCAAAAACTCTTCCAGGTCTAACCACCTGCGATTCTACAAGTGTGACTGAATTCAAGCTAGCCTTATCCTGCCTCTGACTACTTCACTCTTCTTCATCTGACTAGTTACCAGCAGGGAAATTCCTCCAACCCCAAAATAACCATTATTTTCATAATTCAACTATTAAAATGAATAAATTTTAAGTTGCACATTTCTTCAAAATGTATATGTTATCTAACGTCATCGAAAAGGCAAAACTATAATGACAGAGGATTTATCAGAGGTTGCCAGAGTTGCAGGTGGGGAGGGAGGCTGACTACAAATGAATAGCACAAGGGAGTTTTTGAGGGTGATGAAACTGTTCTGTATCTTGATTGTGAGGGTGGTTACATGACTATATGCATTTGCAAAAATCCATGAAACTATATACCACAAAGAATAAATTTTACTGTATGTAAATTGAAAACTAACTAAATAAATAATTTTTTTAAATAGGGCAACAGCTTTGGTAGTGATTTACATCCATGTTTATGTTCACATCACATTCATATATTCTAGAGAATTTTCCAGGTATTAAATTTAACTTCTTATTTGAATATCTAGCCTCTTAAAAGTGTCTAAATTATGAGCATACACTTTAAACATATATAATGTATGCTTTAAAATAAATACATTCTTTTCAAAATATGGCAGTTATAGTCTTAAGAGACTTTCTAAAAACAGATTTATTGAGGCATAATTTAGATACCATGAAATTATGGGTGTGAAGTGTTCAGTTCAATGATATTTAGTAAATTTACAGAGTTGGGCAACCATCACCACAATGTAATATTAGAACATTCCACCATTCCAAAAAGATCCCTCATGCCCGTTTTTAGAGACTCATAAACGTAGAAGAGCAGTCAATCTGCTAGTAAATTTGCTAACACAGAATCATGACATTTTTAGGATTGGAAAGCTCTTAAGACCACCTTAAACTCCCTTCCCCTGTTTAAACACATCTCTAACACGGCTGATGGGTAGTTACCCAGCCTAGCTAGACAACATTCAGTGATAAGTGACTGTCTTGTTTAACAGTCATTTCATCTTGGCCGGATCTATTTACTACACAATTATTCCTCACTTTAAAGCACTGAGGCTTTATATGGGTAATCCCCCATACTAACAGAGAACTACATTAGTATCCAACAAAGGTGACAGGAGATGCTTAAAGGAAATTATTCTTGAGCATTTGAGGTCCAAATAGAAAGCTGATATAAGTAAAAGAAGCCTGCCAGCTTTAAGGCAGAAGCAAAGGCCAAGGGAACTGAGTACAACATTTAAAGATGGGCTGGCACTGATGGATGGCTATGGAGCATGCTCTGGGTAAGGGCAAAGAGCAGCAGAGTAAAAAGTTAGGAGACACTCATGGGAGAGTCCAAGGGACTGCTTAAAACCATTCAAGGCAGCACTCTGATATCAACAATGTCAAGAGGCCCTATCAGTAAAGTAGATCAAAATCACTAAAACGAAGATTACTTACATTTTGGTATATAATATCTTATTCTGGCCGGGCATGGTGGCTCATGCCTGTAATCCCAGTACTTTGGGAAGCCAAGGTGGGTGGATCACTTGTGGTTAGGAGTTGAAGACCAGCCTAGCCAACATGGTGAAACCCATTTCTACTAAAAATACAAAAATTAGCTGGGTGTAGTGGCACATGCCTGTAGTCCCAGCTACTAGGGAGGCTGAGGCGTGAGAATCACTTGAAGCTCAGAGGCAGAGGTTGAAGTGAGCCAAGATTGCACCGCTACACTCCAGCCTGGGTGACAGAGTGAGAGGCTGTTTCAAAAACGTATCTTATTAAATGAATATCATCACTTTTTACTAAGTTGATAATAACTTGCATGATTGATCCTTGTGTATTGCATTGGGTGAGTGAAAAGACAGAAGGAGAAGTCATAAACCTGTAAACCATCAAGAAATGGAAGGACAAGCCGGGCTCAGTGGCTCATGCCTATAATCCCAGCACTTTGAGAGGCTGAGGCAGGTGAGTCACCTGAGGTCAGGAGTTCGAGATCAGCCTAGCCAACATAGTGAAATCCTGTCTCTACTACAAATACGAAATAAAATTGGCTGGGTGGGTGGCACGTGCCTGTAATCCCAGCTCCTTGAGAGGCTGAGGCAGGAAAATCACTTGAACCTGGGAGGCAGAGATTGCAGTGAGCTGAGATCAGGCCACTGAACTCCAGCCTGGGCAACAGAGCAAGATCTGTCAAAAAAGAGAAAGAAAGAAAAAGAAAAAGAAAAAGAAAAGAAAAGAAAAAAAAAGAAAAGAAGGAAGGAAGGAAGGAAGAGAAAGAAAGAAAAGAAAAAAGAAAAGAAAAGAAAGAAAAAGAAAGAAAGAAAGAAAGAAAGAAAGAAAGAAAGAAAGAAAGAAAGAAAGAAAGAAAGAAAGAAAGAAAAGAGAAAGAAAGAGAAAGAAAGAAAAGAAAAGAAAAGAAAGAAATGCAAGGATAGCAAACAGGCGAGGTGCCTGGAAAATTACAATCCAGAAACAAAATTACCAAGGCTGGATTCACGGGCTTGTGAACTGCATCACCACTCAAGGTCCCACATTTGAGTTAATGCTCTACTGTTGTTGTTTCGAAATTCTAAATACTTTTTTAACAGAGGACTCTCTTCATCTTGCAATAGGCAACAGATCTTGTTTTTATCTTGCAGTAGGCTGCACAAATTAGGTAGCCTGTTTTGCAATCCATTCAAACCTGCAGGAAGAGTGCGGGAGTGACAGTAATAACTACGACTCATTTGCATAGCTTCTTAAGGTTTCAAAGTCCTTTCACACACATCTTACTTGACTCTTACAACCTGTCTACTAGGGAGGCAAAAATGACAAGGAATAGTTGTGTTTGTCCAGGGCCACAGAATCAGAATTTTAAAACAAATGTTGTCAGTTGTCCGGTTCATCTTTCCTATTCCTCATTGTACAAATTAAAAAGCTCAAGTTCACGGAAGTTGGAAGACTTGGCCAAGGTCACACACAAGTACACTCTCAGGAAACAAGCCTTCTTGTATCTACTCCAGTGTTCTTGCCATGGTACCATGTGATCTCTAAAGAAGTTCTGGACTGTGAGATCCTTGAAGACTGGGATCATATCTCATCTGTTTTGGCAAGACTGGAGTGGATGCCTAGTGAATGTCTATATAGTTGTTTCCATTTTAAAAATACTTTATTATTTGCATATATGATATCTGATTTGATCTTCCCAGCAAGTTTATAAAGTGAGGTAGCTATCGTTGTCCTCATTTGCTGGTGAAGGAAACAGGCTCAAAGAAGGAGATTATTGTTTTAAGCTTCATAGGGACCGCAGGGGCAGGCTGGATGGGTCTTCACCCTTTCTCTTCTCATCAACTTCTCATCAACTAAGAGTCCTCTTTTCCATTTCCTCCTTAGATACATCAGCACTTGTTCCACGCAAAGAAGAAAGAAATCAAATATTTACTCAGTACTCACTCGAAATAGTCTCTGTAAGAGAAATTGGAGCTATGGAAATGGAAACCAAAAAATATTTAGACACATATAGTCACACGAAAGATAGCGACACAGTCTCGTTTGAATTTTAAAAGTGAAAGAGATAGTGTAGGTCATGAGGCCCAACAAATAAGAAAACTGAGAACATAGGCACACACAAAATAGTTAAAGAAAGGATGGAGACTATCTTCCGGGTTCGTGCACAACTTCTGCAGGCACTACTCCTTTTGTTTACTGTCCAAATTATTTGCTTAGTGACTTGAATTTTCTCCTTCTTCTCCCCAGGTATCAAAGCCTGAGAGTCCCCTATTCACAACAGTTACCAAACACGCAGCTCTGATTTGCATGACTTGAGACGAGGCCCACTGTTAGGGACACAGCATCCAAGGAGACCTATAAGTCATGAATAGGCAGTGTGACTAGAGCCTAACTCAAGGAAGTTAAGAGATAATACTGATTACACCGCAATGTTTTCATGATACTACATCTGTAAAACAACCATGTAGAAACAATAAATGGAGAAGAAGAGAGAACAAGTACACAAAGTTAATCATTCAATTGCTCTCAAATGTGAATGGGGGACAGTGATTACCCTACTGAAAAAATCCATGGAAAACTGATATATAAAAAGATCGCAATGCATATCCGTAGGAAAACAATGGATTTTAAAAAATAAATCACACTGGAATAACTAGACCTCCTCCCACTACCTGACACCGTATATAAAACTCAATTCTAGGAGTATGAAAGACCTCAATGTAAGAGACAAAAATATAAAAATTTTAAAACACAATATAGGAGAATATCTTCATGATCTTGGCATAGGAAAGGATTTCTTAAACAAGACATAAAAAGCACTAATCATACCCATACATTAAATTTTTAAAAATCCTTTTACTTAAAGAAACCATAAAGAAAGTAAAAACCAAGCCACAACTGTGAGCAGATATTTACAACATATGTAACTGACAAAGGACTAATATCCAGAAACATGTAATGAATTCCTGTGAACACAACACACATACACACACACACACACACACACACACACAGAGAGAGAGAGAGCAAGAGAGAGAGAGAGAGAGAGAGAGAGTGACATGAACAGCATTTCCCAAATGGCAAAGAGGAAATCCAAATGATCCCTGAAGATGTAAAAAATTGTTCACCTTCTTTAATAATCAGAGAAATGTACGTTAAAATCACAGTGAAGAATCACTACACACCCCTAGATGACAAACACATTAAAATCTAATAACACCAAGTGTAAGGGAGGACGTGGAGCAATGGAAACTTGGTACCTGCAGGGTGCAGGGTCATTTAGTGTAAGCGGTTTAGCTTTTTCTTCTACTCAGTAAATCTACCCATAAATATGTACACTAGACTTGGAGACATTTCTGCCGTATAAACCAGGAGGCACAAGGAGGAATGTTCACAGGAGTGTTGTGCTAATTAGCTGAAACCCAGAGACAACCAAAATGCTTTTCAACAGTGGAATAAATAAGTACACTGTGATTTACTCACAGAACGGAACATCATATAACAACAATAAACACTATAAATGCATATCCATAGCTTAGCTCCCACTTGTAAGTGAGAACATGCAGTATTTGGTTTTCTGTTCCTGAGTTACCTCGCTTAGGATGGTGGCTTCCGATTCCATCCAAGTTTTTACAAAAGACATTACTTCATTCTTTTTTATGGCTGAGTAGTATTGAGTGGTATATATATATGAAAAAAATATATATATATACATATATATATATACACACACACACACACACACATATATATATATATATATATATATAGAGAGAGAGAGAGAGAGAGAGAGAGAGATGTCATTTTCTTTTTCCATCCTTTGGTTGATGAGCACTTGGGTTGATTTCCTATCTTTGCAATTGTGAATTGTGTTGCAGTAAACATATGTGTGTAGGTGTCTTTTTAAATATGACTTCTTTCCTTCCTACTGGGTAGACACCTAGTAGTGGGATTGCTGGATCCAAGTGTAGATTTACTTTTAGTTGTTTAAAAAATCTCTAGATTTGATAAATGAATGCAGTAAAGTCTTCAGGTGACAAAAA